CTCCTTTGTCAGTCTTTTAATGCAAATTTCCCTTTTCTTTCATAACTTGGCTATTATTATTTCCTCGGAAATTATAATTTTTATGATTAATTGGTAATAAGACTTCGTGTCGTACAATTCGGTCTGTAATCATACTCGTGATAACCAAATCGAACTTCCGTTTAGCGGTCGTCCGATTTTCGTATCACTCGTATGATTACAGAGCGAATTGGTCTCTACTCAGTCCTATTACCATAACAAAACGAGTGAAAATAACGACGCGTTGATCGATAAAGCGTTGGCTCATCTTACTTAAAAATATAGAGCTCGTATCAATTAACAAAGAGTCTCAAATGTTGCATCCGGCGAGAAATATCCTTTGCAAGATCTGACTTCCACCGCTCGTGAGTCCAGGTTAGTAAGAAAATAATTTTCGCTCCTGTGTTTCTTCCGTTCGATTTTTAAAACGTCTTAGCTTAGAGATGCCGCCGTGGACAACGAAAGAGCGAAATCGTAAACAACGTGAAGGAAATCCACCAGAAACTGATTGAGTTGAGATTTCGAACGTCGAAAGCGCCAATGAAGTTATGCTTAGAGAATGTCAAACGTCTTCCTCGCCCATTGCAAGCAATTTCTCCTGCTTGAGCAGGAACCTTTGTCGCTAGCAACTAACGCATCAGCCCAATTCTGATCGAATGTTTTTGAAACCTTTTCCCCGACTGTTTTCTCCGTGGTGCTTCATTCGCACTTGCAAATGTACACAAACTTTGCGTTTCTTCGACGACATATTTAAAATTGAATCAACAATCTGCAAACGGAAAACGTTCCGAACACCTCGTCGACTACTAAACAATAACGTTTAAAAATGGAACCTACATGTACGCGGAACTTTTTCATGCAAATTTACTTCTCGAGACAACCCGTTGACAGTTATCAATTAGAGGTAATTAATTCAAAGAAACGTTTTTGGTTTATAACTTTGCTTAGAATCAGTCTTTTTCATAGAAATTTTTTTTAAATGAAAGATCGCAATAAGATCTCTCTGAAAAAACCAAAAACATTATTTTTTGGAAAAATAGTCAGTTTTTGGGTATACTGATACTTTAAGTCCAGTTATTTTTACTTAGCATTCTTTTGTGCAAAACACTTCCAGCGAAAAATTAATTGACAAATGAAATTGACATCAAATGCATCACGTGGGGCGTGACGAACTCACGCATGCTCGATGGAAAAGAAGACAGTTTCATAATTCAGTTTTCTCTCTCAATTGGCGAAGGAGACAACTGCTTGCAGGGTAAGAGGTGAGTCAATATCTCGTTAAATTCCACAAAAACATCTATCGTTAAGGCACCCAGAGATGGCTGACATGTTTTTAATGTTTGTCTTCAAAGTTCACACACGCTTAAAGTTCTGACTGGAAGGTGGAAGTGCCAATGTTTTCTTCGGAGAAAAGTCCAAAAATGGTTCCGCCGGACAAATGTCATTCGCAATCCCCTGGAAAGTGAGTGCTAATATTTTCATTTTCTTTAAAACAAAGTGTGTTTGGAAATTAATGCTTCTCAGTTACGAATAATTTTCGAAAGGTTATGGAAAAATAGTGCCAAGAAGTGTTATAATTGTAGCCATGTGTATTTTGTCTCTGAATATTCATTGTTTTAAAACTAAGGATGGGAAAACGCATTCAGTATTCAACGCGAATCCAATCATTGCTTGTTGTCAGAATTTAACTCCGTCGATTGACCGATCCAGCAAACGAAGTAGTTTAGGATTTTTTCCTCGAAACTGTTGGAATAATTAAGAATTATTCTCCTTACTCTCGGTTAATATTCTGTCACTATTCAATGGCGGCTCTGATGGAGGTGACTGTTGCTAATGTTATATCATCGGTCTTGGACGATATAACAAGATCCGTCTTCTGAGATGGCATTGTCAAGATCCGATTCTAAAACATTGCCAAAATGCCAGTTCACGCCATCCGTGTTACGCGTATGACATGAGATGATAGAAAGCCAACTATATCGCGGACAATAATCCCGGCTGTGTC